GCAAACCATTATTTGCTCAGTCTACTGTTCTTGCTAGGCACAAAGATATGACTGTTAGAGAGATTATGGAGGCTGATGCTATAAATAGTTCCGGCACGTGTTGTGTCAGTGTGGCGTCAATTGACTTGGCGGATAAGGAGTTGGCGTACTTGCGGTCCGTGGCAGGGCCACGGATTGGTTGAGATGTGGTGCGGTGACGCAGTGTGTTTCTACGCCGAGTTTCTTGAATTAAATCAGTTGAAAGTTAGCACTCTGTGGTGTCTGTCCTTCCTATGTCCCCGTCTTCAAAGCACAATCATGTTTTCTAACGTACCGTACCAACTTGCCCAACAATCAGCACTTGCTAAAAAGTGCTATTGTGTTTTAAGCAGCTCGCACCAAATATTTTCTTGAAATACATAGGTTCATGGAAATTATTATGTAGATGTTGGCAGACAGTCATGGTGAGGCCAATCTTTAATGCCAAGTGGTCCACTTATTCAGAGTTAATTGAGTTTGTAAATATTGTAGGTCGCAAATTAAATTTTTATGGTACGCAATGGGCACAATCATCCGTAATGACTAGCTCTACCTAGGGGAACTTCATACGTTTACTACGGCAAGATGGTTTCGAAAAACAAAGTATTTAGTTTATTCAACTCCTGCACTAACCTTGTCTTTAGAAACTTTTTATATTCTTTGCGATGCTGAGATAAGATTCTGGAAATAGTTTTTCCAGAACTACTCTAGATATTTCCAGTTCATCATTTTTCTCGCAACGCATTCGAGAGAGCCAAACCCTGTAATGTACGGAGAGAACTCACAGAATGATGCGACTGACAGTTTGGAACATTCGGCACTGTAACAGTAATAATGACATGTCACTTATGTAATGTTCATTATCGCAGATCAAACTGCTTTTTCCGTCTACACTCATTTTCAGTAGACTCATTCAGCGAACTCCCACCTGAGACTGCAGCGCTGGGTTCTGCAAAGTAATTTGAATGAATATAGATGCAACAGGTTTCTTTGAGCGTGCGTCTAACACATATTCTTCATATTGAATCTGCTAACTGTATTCATGTCCATGTCCATAATTCCACATTCCAGCTTATTTTTATTTTGACATTCGAGTTTTCTTCAGTACTTTTCTCAACATCTGTGCTTGCTGAGCCGTACTCAAGTCCATACATCTTGTCTTTCGCTATTACATTAATATATAAAACTGTTGATGCCGAGTGAGAATTCAAGGTACCGAATCTGTCGTGCGAGCTAAATAAGAACCAATAAAAAGCTCTACAAAGGAAATTTTGTTAAAGGATGCTGTATGGGCATTAGAATAGCACATGCCATGCTAAAAAAAATATACAAATTCTTGTTAGGTATGCGAGGATGACAGTGCTGTGCTGTTTCTGATGTGTCACAAAAAAAAAAAAAAATCAGTGCCATACAGTGTTCCTTATGGAAGTACAAACTGTTGAATTCGAAGCCCAGAAGTTTTATTCAAGAATGTTCCTCAATACAAATGTATTTAGAGATCTGAGCCACTGACTCATACATGACTATGTGGCAAACATTAATTTTCATGTGGATTATAGTTTACAAGGTCTAGTCTGCATTGATTTATTGCATTCATGCTGAAACTGGGAGGGGTTCTCTGGGTATGAATAAAGAGATAAACATTTCTTGAAATCAAAACATTTGAGAACGGACAAAAGGAAGGATCTGAGAACGGTATCTTAGATTCTCTTCTTTTTCTTACAGTATCTCTAATGTTCACTTTATTTCACCTGATGCATTTAGTTTTTAGCGCAGCTCTTAGCACCCGTTTCCGCGTTTCGCCGCGTCGCTGTCGGCGTAACCACCCAACTAACCTTGGCAGGAAATTGAATTAATGTTGTGGTCATGTGACGTTAATATTTCCGCTAAGTCTAGCTGAGAAACTGAATTTTTTTATGGCTGACGTGACACGGTCATGCGACGTCATTTTCCCTGCTACTTTTAGCGGAAAAACTGCATTTGTGTTGAGGTCATGTGACATCAATTTCTGCGCTAAATTTAGTGGGAAACTTAACCAGCTAAATTTAGTGGGGAAATTTTCCCGCTAAATTCAGGGAAGTTTCCTGCTAAATGGGAGGGAGCAGAAGAGGAGGAGGGGAGGGGGAGGAGGGGCATACCTTCCCATCCTCCTCTTCAAGATCTGTGCTCTAATTTCACGTTACAGAGAATTGTAAACGTCTCATATTTCATCTCATGTTTATTCAACTTTTATATTGCAGGTGCGCTCGCAGCACAAATCTGGGTTGTGCTGATCCTCTACGCACAAGTTAGGAACTCCTGAGTGGCAAGAGTGGGAGTTTGGTCTGACAGCTCAAGGGACACCATTGTTCAGTATTGAATTTTTAATAATCTTCTTTTAAGCAAAGTTAAGCTTTGCTGCATGCAGTTCTTGTAAAAATAAATACCTGCAACCAAATTTACCAGGTCACGACATTTCGCCTCTGCTCTTAGTGGTCCTGGTGAGCCTCGGATAAGAGCTTACTGGTGTGCAAACACCATGCTTGTTTGAAACCACTCACTGATGTAGAGACTCGCTGACATCCAGCATTCCAATGAAACGCTGGATGTCCACAAGTCTTTCTTGAACAATGCAAGCGGGGAAGGAACCATACAATCGTATCGTATTGGGGGACATTCTACAGAGTTTTTTTTCTATGTTTTACAGATTTTTTTTAAAAAAGCCGTAAAAGCTACATTTACGCGGTCTGTGCACGTGAGTTATATGGCCAGGGCGGCATAGTATAAAAGGCTAATTTGTAATGATCCGTCGGCTTATTACAGAGATGTGCCAGACTTCTTTCAGAAAACTAGATGGAGGTTCATTCTAGCGTAGTTTTATCCCGCGAATCTGAATATCCCGTTCGTTTTCCTCAAAGATATAACTAAACGTGAGAAAACACAAAAAACATCCCACCAACAGTGACATCGTAAGAAGACCTTTCGGCCGCCAAGCGTGTGTCGCTTAAGGGCCGCGCGTCCAATCGCAAGTTTTCTAGGTATATTCTCCGGCACTGGCACCAGTCGTGACACATTTTTCTGCCCTTTTAAAAAATAGCATGTGCGTGCATAGCTTTGATAGGCACTGAAGATGCGTGAACAAAGATTTTGAAAGCTGCTGTTGTGACGTCGCTCTCTAGGGAGGTGCTTTCACAGCGCTTTAAAAATGACTATGCAGCCTTGATTAATTAAATTAGCAAATAATTTTGATATTTGAGATTCTGGAGGTCGAATGAAGAAGATTTAAAAGTGTTTTCTCATATACAAAACTGCTTCAGCCTCTCTCTAAGTATAGTATGTTCGTGAAATTTTTGATCAGTGAAAATAGACCCATGGTTCCAATTAGAAACCTGCTAAGCATCATCAAAACACACTAAATCAATTTTCTTTGTAAAGATATAAGACGAGTAGCATTTTATGGCTTTATAAAAAAATGGTCAATTTGGACGCATTTCCAGACTTCGGTTTCTTACCAGAGCGCATCTTTGCACCTGCGGTCCAGCTGCCCGGTGACCGCAGTGCGAAGCCGCCCCCTCGCCTCCCTCGTAGGATGAAGGGAAGCAAGGCGCATGTGTGTTGCGTGTCTATGCCCCTGGGGAACAGGACCGTGGGCGCAGAGATGAGCTCTGATAAGAAACTGAAACCTAGAAACTCGTCCAAATAAAGCTTTTTACAGAATGCATAAAACGCTACCCCTGAATTATATCCTTCTAAAAAAAAACTTGATTTTGTGGTTTTCAATGACTCGGCAAGTTTCTAATTGAAACCATATTTTCATTTTCACTAATTAAAAAGTTGATCAACAAATTGTATTTAATTATCTGACTGATCGTTACGACTAGGTCCCTATACTACGTACGCCTGGCCGTATAACTCGCCTGCACAAACCGCATTAATTTAGCTTGCACGACCTTTCTAAACATATATGTAAAGCTTAAAACTAAATCGCCCTGTACGACAGCGAAAAGGCGAAACCAACATGCTGGAGCCATATGGCTCCACCGTGGTGGTATCGCCTTTTTGCTGGTATAGGATGTCCCATATTACGTTATGCATGTATGGTTCCGTCCGCCTACATGGTTCCGCCCTAATCCACTACGCTGGTATAGGATGTCCCATAATACGACACGCTTGTATGGTTCCGCCCACCTGTATCGTTCCGCCTTATTCCACTATACTGGAGCCGCCTTTTTCGCTTGTATAGGATGTCCCATATTACGGTTACGCTTGTATGAGCCTTTTCCGTCATCTTTCCATCATCGAGATTTTCCAACAGGGGTTGTCCATAATACCGAGGGAAAAATGCGCGTATTTTCAGATTTCCCCCCCGAAATGGTATCCATATAGCGGTGTATCCATATTAATGGAGTCCATATTAATGATGCATGTTTGTACCTTAATCTAGCAACCCTAGCTGTCGTTGTTTAGTACTTGGCGTTACCATCCGTCGAGTAACTTTACATTTATTAAGCACAGTACTTCACCTGCGTTTTCCTGTTGCTAAGTAAGGCATAAAAACCAAAACGAAACTTGACGTTGGTGTTCCAATAGCGTGGGGTCGGCCTGCCCTTGAGGTATGGCGGCACTTGTTTACGTTGTAGATGAGATATGTAGCCAGTGCAGTGCCACTGGTAGTGCGGTGTGTCTTAACGGGCATCACGCCGTAGCATTACAGGAAACGCAGGCTGGTACGATGCTCATCCCAATCGAAAATAGCGCGAGGATAGAACCCAGCATCCCTGGATTCTGAAGTACGTGCTTTCGATCCACGCACTCGGAGCTGTGGCGCGCTAAGACACTCTGCCACCAATCCCCGAAGTGAGACATCACAAAGTAGCGCGTAGGCATTACCCAAGGAACAGCGACGACGCTTGTAACGCTCGAAGCCAGTTTGGAGGTCGGATTATGCACGCATCGCAGCGCGCGTCGGACGATCGCGCCGTGAGCGATCCGCAACTCAGGTCGTGGGAGGCGTCGCCGCCGGCCGGACGCATCGGGCCGACACCCGTTGCGCCACGCAACAGATAGCGCCGAGCAGCACGCTGTCCCCGCAGCAGCAGCAGCTGTATCCTCGTGCAAGCGGCGCTGGCTTCGGTTGCGGCGGCGTCTGGCCGTGCTTGGCTCGGCTCACTCAGTCGACCTCCGAAAGCAGCACGCGGGAGCCTCGTCTCGTCGTCGCTTCTCGGCCTTGGTGGAATAGCACTCTTCCGGGAGCCATGCGTTCCGCGGTCTCCGTCGGGGAACCGCGCCTCGCAGCAGCTGCCCGCTTCCGGTGAGTTTGTTATGTGGCCTCGCCGTCTCTTCTGACATTTGACTTAAGCCGAGGGGAACCCTGCTCATGCACCACACACAAGACACGGTGTTCGGTGAAGACATGGTGACAAATGTACATGCGGGCACGTCTCATGTATGTTCCAAGCATGCATGCTTCACACGCGCTTCGAACATGACTGCAGAAAGTTTTTTTGTACAACCAATGTGGCCATTATAGAAGAAAGAAACCAGCCACATATTGAACCTGCAGACTGTGTTTTATGATGTATTAGCTGTGTCACTGCCGCTCTAGAGCCCTGCTGCGCTCAGGATCAAAGCAACTCATTCTCACATGGGGGCCAAAAGAACAGCACGAAGCAACCAAAATAGGGTCGGAAAAAGCCGTATGTAAAGCAGGAGACGTCATACCGATCGCATGAAATATGTGCACTCTTTTTTTAGCCTTTTTAATAACAGACGCCAAGAAAAAAAGATTAAGTCCTGCAAAGACGAAATGCTTTTTTATTTTTTATTTTCATAGTCTGCCAGTGTGCGAGGGCACTAGAATAGAGCGTGTTATGGCCAGAGCCCGGATCCTTCAGGGTGGTTGTGTGCCGTGACTTATGTATACACATGGCGTCGATTTGTATTTTAGTGTTTTTTATATCATTATTTGTGATTTAAACTTCACAATAAGCATATATAAAACACTCCGCTTGTTCGCCATGATGACGTGCTAACTTGTAGCATTTTCTCAACGTTGCAAGCAGTTTACCGAAGAAACTGCGCTAACCCTTACCTCCGAACAGCTGTGCTTTGATATGTGTGATATCGTCGATAAAATTTCTACTTGCAAGCAAACGCGGAAGAAGTGTTGCACGGTATCAGGGGACTTTAATGAGTGGGTTCCAAGCATGTTTTTATATTTTGCACGAAGTAGCCTGTCTATTGTGGCTTCCGACTGAATTAAGATAAGGTGTGCAGCGGAAAAAAAAAAAAAAACATACAAATACGTAGACATAGTAAAGATTTTTGCAGCGCCTCGTTTCTATCTATCCTTATCAGTCGGCTGGAAGATGTGTTTATAAGGGTCTTCTTTTTTTCAGTTTCCTCTGTACATGAACTCACTTTTGACAGTACGAGCTACTGGTAATACGCGTGCGCAGGTTCCTGATTCTTCAAAGCGCAAAGCATCCGCACATGCTCTCCACAACCACTTAGCTACAACTCCTTGCCGTGACGTCACAAAAATGTGTACGTGAACGTAATTGTTCGTGGAGATACTATCACCCGCCAAAGCGTCTACCAAACATTTTAGTAAACTTGATCAATCATCGATATTACAAGCCCTTTCGAGAAAGCCAGACTCGCAATCCATTCAACATTAAAAAAAGAAACGAAGGTAGCATTTACGATTAAAGTTTATTGTTAAATTTGATGTGCCAGGGATTCAATTTCAAAACCGGGTTAGGACGAAAACTTTTTGGGCTGTTGAATAGACGTGCTGTGACAGCTGTCCGCCGAGCGAGCGGTATCGACTCATGGGACCTTTTTGACCTTCTCGGGAGTCCACGATCTGGCTATGTTTGGGAGCAAAATTTCCACAAACACACAGAAGTCGAGAGGTCTTGTGACCTCTAATGGGCTCATTCCGAATGCTGCTTCATGCACCGGTCGCTGTTAATTTGTGTACGGACACAAGAAAACAACAAAAAACTTAAAATTCGTAAAAGACATACGGGTTGTCAATCACTTCTAACGATAGGAAGCAGATGATTCCACTTTCAGAATGCTTCCGATATCACTTGGGGACAGCACTCGGTTTGAGCAGACAATCCACCTTTTTTATGTTTTCAGCAGACGACGTACGGTGTATTCCTGTATCATTTCTGTCTGCGAGAAACGTTTTGTAATCGCTTTGTTTACTTGCGTTAACAGACGAACCGTGAGCGAAAAATATCTTGCTTCGCTCTTTCAAAGGTATATTAGGTTTCGCGCTCGCTTTCGCATGACCAGAATCGGAACACAGGAGAAACATAAGATCCGGGCTATTGCATAAATTTTTAGTTTTAACAAAATAAATACAATGGTGCAAGTGAGCTTTTATAGGTCGAACAGAGTGAAAAGCAGCCGATTCCTGGGTTACTTATTGCAAAACACAAGGTCAGATATGTCTAGGTGTTTTGTTGTCGCCGATATAGCTCCAGCCTGGCGCATGTTTTGCCGGATTGATGATCACAGTTCATTTAGACTGTGTTTCTACCAAGAAGTTCGGCAGTCATTCGTTTGCGTTACCATTCGTATTTTTTTTAATTTTTTTTTCAAGTTTCACAAACATGAAGTGTCAGGAAACGCGATAATAAACAATAAAATTATGGGCTGGAAAATAAATTTTGTTATACTATTTTTACAATTTAAATGAATGCTTAGAGTGGCTAATCCTCGCTAAAAGACTCAGCTTCTTCAGGGCGCCATATCGTCACCATTTGCAACATGGCACAAAGTGTATGAAAGAGAATGTGAATAACAGAAACGTTGAGGGAGAATCGGGAAATTAAAAAAAGGCATCGCCAGAATCTAAACTACGTAAAACACCGAGATATATATATATCTATCTATCTCTATATATATATATATATATATATATATATATCAACGAAAGGGCTTCGAAAGTTTACAACTTTACTGGCAGGAAAAGCCGGTTAAACCTCTATGCCGAGAAGGCGTGCAGACGAGAGGAAAAAAGTAGCAAAAGATTAGCGGTAAAAATAGCGACTGAATATCGCCGTTCGAGGAATGGGTACGGGGAGCGAAGAAAGGAGGTCGAAACGGAGAGCTTGTTTGCGGAGCAGAAGCCTGCAGACAACAAGGCCGGTGTCTCTTCATGGCTTTTGTTGTTGGAGACGCCTCCGCAAACGACACCGCACGTATGAGTCAAAGGAGAGAAACTGTGCCGGCAGCGTGTGGAGCTGCTCGGCTCTGTAGCGGGAACCACCAAGCAACTGTATGCTTGCTCAGAAGACACTACGGAAATGTTGCCCCAACCAGCTGTCGAGCTGTCTTCGTACATTGAGCAGCACGCTCAACTCGAGCCCGGCATTGACGGGTTCTCACATATTTGCTTCTTGTGAGTAATGTCGAACTGCCATCTAAGGATACCGCTCAGATTATTGGTAACCCGAACGAGAAGTGTCCAATGAACGCTAGCTGTTTTGGTCACAGTGTCTTTCGAGCTTACAGGTGGAAAAGGACGAGAAAATGCACGGGCTGTATGTTTGTACTTCGTCATGCTTTGTATGCAACACAGATACTATCACCGGAAACTGAGGAACAGGCTAACAGAGTTTTATATTTTCCTTCCTTTGCGTGCTCTTCGGCTTCTTTTTTTTTTTTTTTTTGTAACATTAGAAGTGTTTTTACATTTCGATAAAATGGAGATCTTTCTACAGTCTACTTATTCAACATTGAATGCAGAATTCAATATAGAACTGCGACGCGACTTAGCGGCGTGACTCCTGATGGCAACCTTCCTGAATAAGACCACACCATACCGGCAAAACGCATCCTACAAAAATGAATCTTCGCAACTTCAAAAAAAAAAAAAAAAAGAAAGAAAAATGTTACAAGGTGTTTTCGAAAGGCGTAAAAACAAAATAAGCGTTCCGGGACATATCTCAAACAATTTGGCGATCAACATATTACTCTCATAGTGTACGCCAGACCACTTTTAGTAGACAAGTTTTTTAGATAATTTTTAGCGACTGCCGTACGTGTGGAGAAGAAAGCGCCGTAACATTCTCTTCGTGGTCGTGCGTTGCACTACATGTCACAGGAACGCTCTCCTCGATCACTGTATACTCTGAGACTTCTCTAAATGCATACTGCCCCACGAACAGTCCGCCCACCGATTACTGGCATTCCATGTCTAGTCTGTGAAAAGAGCGAATGCTATAGCGCCCCGATAGACATTCATATATTATCGGCGACAATACGACGCCCACCATGCATTCGGTAGTTAGACCGCACGGCCATTGAAACTTGACATCGATGGTACTTCACATCGCGGCACGGTATGGACTCAAATATTTTACTATAGTAACTGGCTGCTTGTCATTGACTCTACGAGGATACTCTCCTCAAATTCATTGCGCAATCCACAGCACAAAAATAAAGAAGAAATCTTTCCGCGTGGGTACTTCGACACATGAGCATCGGACTGTCCACGCTTTGGCGCTGTGCCAAAGGAGAGGGCTGCCGCCTGCAGTCCGATATACCGGATTTGCTAAGACAACAGAGACGGCCGTCTCCGCTATATCGAGGAGTTTCCACAACGATAACTGTCGGCAGCCACCCTTCCCAATTTAAAAAGGAATGCCCCGCGAGCCTACCAGTGTTCCAGCCGTTCCAACTACACAAAGGCTGTCCGTCCCAATTACATTGGATTACCGCGGGGAGAGATGTATCCACTTAACGGATGTGCTCATGGACCTCTGAGGGTCTTATAGTAGTGTTTTTATTTCATTCAAAAATATTACCTGCAATTTAGGAATACACCACGGCTAGTACTTGAGCAAATCCGTACATCGATGGATATAGGAAGATTCTAGAGGCGACATGATGCTACCAGAGGCGAAGACGGGGCAGACTTCCGGTATGGAGGGGCACGCTCCCAACAGTGACCAAAAACGAACAAAATCAAAAGGTGCTACTGTACGCAGAGGACACCTTTGGGCGTTCTTAGAAGCGTCCCCACCGACCGCGACCTGCACTTTCGGCTTTATTTGGAAATTCATCGTTTGGCTTGCTTGAGCCGGTATTCTTCATACCTCCACGCGTACAACTGTCTTACAGTGGCCCTCGAGAGCCACGACCACTCGATTAGTTCGGGCCTTTCACTAAGTAGCGCAGAGTGTAGAAGAGCAGCTCGCTTTAAATTCCAAGTATCGTTTGTTTATATATCTATTTTTTTTCTCACAATTTGGCTCCCTGTAAAGTACACTGCGGATGCAAGAAAATTTC